CTTATGCAGGTCAGGGAAACAATCTAGGTTTTATGATGATTTACTGTTAGAAAAAAAAGAAACTATTGCTGTTTCCCTGAGTTTAAAGCCTCAAAACTGAAAACTAAACCCACAAATTGTTTGCTAGGATTAAACTGTGACAAGAGAAGAGCTGCAGCAGTGTGACAGAATTACTGCAAACACTCTTACCCTACCATGTAAGAGTGACAGTGCCCAACTATTGTGTGTTGAAGAGAACAAATTGTTCTTATTGTAATCGAACACAATTTTAGACCAACTCTATTTATATGCGCTCTTTATTTGTGGGTAGTCTGTACTGATTGGAAGATTTAAACACTTTACAAATATGTTTTTGTGAAGCCTAATGATAAGCTTCAACATAATGATAGACTCTTAAGAAAAATTATATTCAACTTGGATGGCAAATTAGATTTTTCTGTCTATGCCTTCTCAACATTGATTACTCCAGTGGGAAGAAAATTAATCTGAAGTTTTTGTTTATATTACAAATATATGACCAATTGTGCAAATTTAGATATTTGACCACATTTATTCATTTTAAGTTATTTGGAATCATATAATCATTACCCAAGTTTCAAAGAGATAACAATTATAAAGACATCTGATCTGAAAATGAGAACATCTTAACCCTAGTCTTGGTTTTGCCATAAACTGGATATGCAAACATAGCTAATAATCCAAATATTTCTGGAAATCAATCTTATTCTAAAATCAGGGGGTTGGACTACTGGATAATTTTTTGGGTGTTTTCTGGCACTCTGAGTGTATCAGAGATTATATTTAGTAATCATTAATACAGAAAATTCAACTTGGTGAAATGTACCAGGAGGCTTTTCCAGAGGTAATATATTTTTTTATTTATTTTATTGCATTTTAGGTTTTGGGGTATATGTGAAGAATATGCAAGATTGTTGCATAGGTACACGTGTGGCAGTGTGATTTGCTGCCTTCCTCCCCATTACCTACATCTGGCATCTCTCCTCTTGCTATCTCTCCCCAACTCCCCACCCCCCACCGTCCCTCCCCTATTTCCCCCCAACAGACCCCAATGTGTAGTGCTCCCCTCCCTGTGTCCATGTGTTCTCATTGTTCAACACCCGCTTATGAGTGAGAACNAGTAGGGCATTGTGCAAAAGTAATTGGAGACAAAATTAAAGAAAGCATTATATTCCCTGATTTGAGTCAGGTTCAAATTTTGGACATGCGGCTTTAGCACATTTTTTGGATTCTGTGAATTATACGAGTTTCTAGCTAATGATTCCATTTTATTTTTTTAAAGTTTGGGCTAGATTTCTGTTGCTAGCTTTTTTGACTCAATCTGAAGTATTTAGTGGGTATACGTTATTTTATGTCTAGTGTCAATTTTAGTTCAGATAATAATCACCCTTACTCCAACAGAAGTGGATCTGTAATGCCAAATAGTTTGAGAATGTTTATTTACTGAATTTTTGAAACTGTTTTTCTCTGTGTTTGCAAAGTTGTGAGGTTGGCCTAGAAGCTGCCTATGATTATTCTCCCTTCTGTACAGGCAAGAGAGATTCCTAAGACCATTTAAGGTGTTAGTTCCAGTTATCTTTAAGACAAGATCTTCCAGTGACCTCATTACACCTTGCTTAAGGTACTTTAAGTTAGGTTTCTGTTATAGCAATCAAATGAATCCTTAACAAATGGAGCCTTCTGACTTATAACATAAAAATTTGCCCAAACATCTTGAAAGGACAGAGTTAATATAGCATATGTATTACAAGAAACAGCTCCTTTGTACTTAAGAATAGTCAGCTTCAATATGTGAGAAAAAAATATGGCAGACTTTCTTTTAATTTTAATCAACTAAAAATATGACACTGATATTTAATCCAGAACTGAAGACAATACCTTTTTAAAAGTTTAAAAAGCTCGGTAAATATTAAAAAAGTTCTCATGCTATTAGATTCCTAATACACACAAAATATGAATCTACTAAGTTCATTCCAGTTGTAAAAGGTTTGAGCAACAAAGAAATAGTGTTCAACATAAAAGTTCTTTGTCACTTCCCAGTAATTCTTGCTTTTCCTTAAGGAAGAAATCAGTGCTAATAGTTTGAGATATATTATTCTAGTTATTTATATATAATCATTTGTATCTCAAGAAATGTTCATGTATTACTATATATTTAAACATAATATGCATCATATATTATATATTTATTCTCAGAAGCAGGCTTTACATTAGTATGTGTGGTTATGTGGTGGCAGTCAGATGGGTGTAAACATTCTCAAATCATCAAAAAAAAAAAAAAAAAAAAAAGATATATTACATAAGTTGCGTGATTACAGAAATTTTAGCTAAAATTGAAAGTTAAAAACAGAAATTAGGAATAGAAATACCATTGTCTCATCCATTTAAAAAAGAGAAAGAATAAAGAACTTTGGCATTCTTAAAGAAAACCAAACGTGAAGTGGAATACGTGATAGCAATACTGCGCAGAAGACTGTTGCTACACTGCCACTTAGTGGTGACCATGTGAAACTTAGTTGAGTGAAGATGAGTCAGTCCATTAATGAATTACTGGTAGCTCTTACTTGAGAGAATAGGTTAATTCTAGCGGTGTGCCATAAATTAAAGTAAGATCAAGAGGACATTATCTTACCAGTGTCTGAGTTATAAAACCAAAGATATACACTCAGGGAAAGTGTCTTGGCAGGTGGACATAAAATGACAGTTAAGAATGAAACTTAATTTAAGTATTTTTAAAGGAAAATAAGTGTTAAAGCAACAAAATAAACATCTTCTACTCAAAAGTCACAGAATTAAAATAGTGAAGCTAACATGCAATATTCAGTTGTAATTTCTACCTCAAAATATTTATTTTCAACATGCAGACAATAATCTATGAAATAAAGATAGCTAAAAAATTTTTTTGCCAGAGTTTTCAACTAGTTTCGTATCACCTTAACACTGTTTATACATATAAAATATTTACATTGATTTATTGCACATTTTAAGACTTGAAGCTTACTAGTATATCTGTAGTGTACATCTACTAATTTTTGTTTGCATATACCCATTCACCCTCTCTCATTACCTGGAAGTCATGATACTCAATATAGAAATTATAGAACCTCCTAAAAACATTAGCCAAAGTGATTGACCCAAAATATGAAGATATGAAAGAAGTCAGAATATTAAGTATAATTATATTAGTCCGTTCTCATATTACTATAAAGAATTACCTGAGACTGGGTAATTTATAAAGAAAAGAAGCTTAATTGTTCATGGTTCTGCAGGTTGTATAGTAAGCATGGCTAGGGAGGCCACAGAAAACTTATAATCATGGTGGAAGGCAAAAGGGAGGCCAGCAAGTCCTACGAGGCTGGAGCAAGAGGAACAGAGAGCAAAGGGGGAAGTGCTACACACTTTTAAACAACCAGATCTCATAAAAACTCAGTCACTATCATGAGAAGAGCAAGGGAAAAATCCACCCCTATGATCTAATCACCTCCTACCAGGTCCCTCCCCCAACATTGGGAATTCCAATTTGACATGAGATTTGGGTGGGGACACAGAGCCAAATCATATCAGTAATTTACTGAGATATTTGGACATTGCACCTAAGATGTTAAAATATAATAGAAAAAATAAATAGATTGATTAAAATGCTTATAATAAAAAGAAAAGAAAGGGCCCCTTTTTTGTCTGGCCACAAAGCTTCGAAAACAAGAGCCTCAGCTTGGCAGCAGATTTGTCTGCTACTCTGTGGGAAAAATGTANCAATTTGATAATTTTTAGATTATTTCATTCCTGGTAAAGTTACTATTTGTTTCTTATCTCTACTTCTGTTGTGGAGAATGAAATTCACTTCTGCCTTTTTATTCTATGTGATTTTTTTTTAATTTTCTGATGTGTCACAACAATATTAAAAATATTAGGCACTCCCTACTTTAGAGATAATATCTCAAGTATATTCTGGGCACAAATAGCAATGCTGCCATTAATAATATATTTTTGCATATGGAGTAATGAGAGTTGAAGTGTAATAGGAAAATGGCCATACATAGTTCTGAAGTAAATGCTTAATCACTGCTTAACATCTATTTGTTTTGAGTTTACAACCTTGCTATGTGTCTCCATGCAATACTGTCACTACTTTCAGATAATGAATAAGGTCTCATACACAAAGGAATTTTGAAATGGGGGAGGTAAACACATGAATTAAAAATGACCAGTAGTAAAAGAGTATAAATTTACATTAAGGGTTCTAAGTTCTTTGCATTGTTTAGGACTTAGACACATTCAAAGGAATTATTTTAAACAGCTTCAAAAAATCATAACAAAATTTAGAAAATATTTTGAAATTAATAAAAATTAACCATTTACAATGATGAGATATGGTTAAAGTCATGCTAGGAGGTAAATATATGGCCTTTAATTCATATATTAGAAAAGAAAAAAGACCAGAATTTAATAATCTAAATAGTCATCTTAATAATTTGGAAAATAGAATAGTTAAGCCAAAATCCAGTAAAAACAAGAATTATTTTTATTTTATAATTTTTATTAACAATAAAAATTAAGATCAGAAACTACTGACCTACAAAACATACCTTAAGGAGTTTAAAAATTCAGAAGTTTATTTCTTTAAAAATAATTAATAATTACCTCTAATGAAAGTAATTATCAAGATAAATAAAGAAAAAATGACAATTTTAGAAATGGGACTGGTCATGCAGACTTTAAAAGCATGAGAGGATAATATTAACAATATTGGAAATAAATTTAAACATTCAAGCAAAATGGATAAATGCCTAGAAAATTATACTATACATGACTGACACAAGCACACAGAATATCTAAGTAGTTACGTATATATAGTAAAACAAACAATTCTGTAATTTGAAGTTTTCTACCAACAAAACTCCATGCTTAGGTGATTTCACCCATCATTTATTACAGAGCATTAAGGCAAAAAAATGACACGATTATTAACCTAAACATTTTACAAGAATAGAAAAAAATGGAGGACTTACTTACTAATTAAAGTATGATGCTAAAATCTGCCAAAGACATTACAAGAAAACAAAATAACATGCAAATATCCTTTAGGAACATGAAAGCAATACTCCAGCATACGTTAGCAAGCCAAATTAAGTGATATATGAAAATGTTAATATATCATAATCAAGTTAAGTTTATAATAGAAATGAAAAGTTGGTTTAACATTAGAAAATTAATGTAAGTAATTGTGTGAGAGTAAGAAAAAAATGTGAGAATCTCAATAGATACAGAAAATTTATGGGATGCAATTCAATACTCATTCATGAACCAAATACTTAACACCTAGAATTTCAACGGCAATTTATTAACATTTCTAAAAGTTTATTCAAAAAACTTCAATATTTTTAATCATAAAATATCAAAGCTTTTTGCGGAGTTAGCATAAGGCAAAGAAGCAAACTATAAACTCTTCTATTAAACATCGTACTTCTCCTTTCTCACAATATTACAATGGCTAAAAAACCATGAAGTACGATGTTTAATAGAATTAATTAAAATTAATTAATTTAATTAATTTGATTGATTAAATTCTATTAAAATGTACAAACAATGCCTGCAACTCAATAAGAAATAGACAAACTGTCCAAATTAATAAATAATAATCAAAAAACATCAGCAGTCACTCCACAAAAGTAGATAGCCAAATAATAAATATTAAAAGTATATTATTTCAATATTTATCAGGAATATGTCACAATTAGATACCACTGCAAAATTATTATAATGGTTAAAATTAAAAATGCAATAGTGCTAGATTAGTGTTCTCATGTATTTTTGGTCTTTCTTGTGTTTTTAAGTTACTTTTAATTGGTACATGATAATTTTCCATAAGATAAAATATGATTTATTGATAGCTGTATGCAATGTGTCATGATCAAGTTAGGGTAATTAGCATATACATTACCTCAAACATTTATTACTTCTTTGTTTTGAGAACATTCAAAATCCTCTTTTCTAGCTATTAAAAAATACAGAACAAATTATTGTTAATTAGAGTCACTCCACTTGTCAATGTTTGCTTTTGTTGCAATTGCTATTTGTGTCTTTGTCATGAAATCTTTTCCTGTTCCTACATCCAGGATGGTATTGCCTAGGTTGTCTTCCAGGGTTTTTATGGTTTTGGGTTTTACATTTATGTGTTTAATTCATCTTGAGCTGATCTTTGTGTATGGTTTAAGAAAGGGCCTAGCTTCAATATTCTGCATATAGCTAGCCACTTCTTCCAGCAGCATTTATTGAATAGAGAATCTTTTCACCATTGCTTGTTTTAGGGATTTGATTAAACTTAACAGCTTTGGCATAGCAAAATAAACTATCAACAGAATAAAAGACAGTCTACAGAATGGGAGAAATTATTTGCAAACTGTGCATTTGACAAAGGTCCAATATCCAACATCTATAAGGAATTTAAACAAATTTATAAGAGAAAAGCAAACAACCACATTAAAAAGTGGGCAAAGGACATGAACAGACACTTTTCAAAAGAAGACATACATGCAGCCAACAAGCATATGAAAAAAGCTCAATATCGTTGATTATTACAGAAATGCAAATCCAAACCACAATGAGATGCCATCTAACACCAGTCAGAATGGCCATTATTAAAAGTCAAATAATAACAGATTCTGTTGAGGTTTTGGAGAAAAAGGATCACTTATACAATGTTGGTGGAAGTGTAAATTAGTTCAGCCACTGTGGAAAGCAGTATGGCAATTCCTCAAAGAGCTAAAACCAAAACTACTATTTGACTTAGCAATCCCACTGCTGAGTATATACCCCAAGAAATATAAATTCTTCTACCATAAAGACACTTGCGCATGAATGTTCACTGCAGCACTATTCACAGTAGCAAAGACATGAAATCAACTTAAGTGCCTATCAATTACACATTAGATAAAGAAAACATGGCACATATACACCATGGAATGCTATGCAGCCTAAAGAGAACAAGATCATGTCTTTTGTGGGAACATGAATAGAGCTAGAGGCTACTATACTTAGCAAACCAACACAGGAACAGAAAACGAAATACTGAATGTTTTCACTTATAAATGGGAGCTAAATAATAAGAACTTATGAACACAAATAAGGAAACAACAAACAATGCGGTCTACTTTAAATGGGAGGGTGGGAAGAGGGAGAGGAGCAGAAAAAAATAACTATCTGGTACTGGGCTTATTATTTGGGCAATGAAATAATATGTACAATAAACTCCTGTAACTTGTGTTTACCTATGTAGCAAAACTTGACATGTACGTGTAAACATAAAAGTTAAAAAATGAAAAAAAATATTATAGTCACCCGACAGTGCTCTAGAACACTAGAATGTATTCCTTTTACCTAGTTGTAATTTCCTATTTATTAAACAGCCTGTCTCTACCACACCGTTCTCTACTCTTCCCAGTCTCTAGTCACCACTGTTTTATTCTCTATTTTTGTAAGATCAACTTATTTAACTTCCACATATGAGTGAAAACGTGGTATTTATCTTTCTGTGCCTGGCTTACTTCACTTAATATTGTCCTCCAGGCACATCTATTTTGCCAAAAATTGGAGGGTTTCATTGTTTATGGCTGAATAGTATTCCACAGTGTATATATACACATTTTGTTTAATTTGTTAATCTGTTGATGAACACTTAGTTTGATTACATATCTTGACTATTGGGAATAGTGCTACAATAAACATGACAGTATAAATATCTCTCTGACATACTAATTTCCTCTCTTTGGATATACACACAGCAGTGGGATTGATGGATACTATGGTAGTACTTTTTTTAGTTTTTCAGGAACCTACATACATATTTCCAAAAGGGCTGTATTAATTTACATTACCATTAATGGCATACAAAAGTTCCTTTTTCACCACATCCTTGCCAACACTTTTTTTTTTTTTTTTGTCTTTTTTATAATAGCCATTCCAATTAGGGTGAGATCAATCTTACTGCGGTTTTGATTTGCATTTCCCTGATGATTAGTGATGCTGAGCATTTTTCAAATATTTCTTTGTCATTTTCAGATCTTCCTTTAATAAATGTGTATTTCGATCATTTACTCATTGTAGAATCAAATTTTTATTATATTAATATTGTTTCAGTTCCTTTGGTATTCTGGATATTAATTTTATTTCAGATGAAGAGTTTGTAAATGTTTTCTCCCATTCTTTATGTTGTCTCTACACTCTGCTGTTTCCTTTGCTGTGCAAAAGCTTTTTAGTCTTACATAATATTATTTGTCTATTTTTACATTTGTTGTCTGTGGTTTTGAAGTCTTATCTGTCAAATCTTTGCTCAGACCAATGTCTTGAAGCATTTCTTCTATGTTTTCTTCTAGTACTCTCAAAAACTTGGGTCTTACATTCAGGTATTTAATCCATTGTGAGTTCATTTTTGTATATGTTAAGAGAAAGGGGTGCAGTTTCAATCTTTTGCATATGGATATCTAGTTTTTCCAGGAGTTTTTATTAAAGAGAGTGTTCTTTTCTCAGTGTATGTTCTTGGTGTCCTTGTTGAAAATCAGATGGTTGCAAATATGTGGATTTATTTCTGGGTTTTCTATTATCTTCCATTGGTGTATGTGTCTATTTTTAATGACAGTACCATTCTGTTTGGTTAATATAGCTTTATAGAATATTTTGAAATTAGGTAATGTGGTGCATCTAGCTTTGTTCTGTTTGCTCAGGAAGGCATTGGGTTTCAGGTTTTTGTGATTCTATGGAAATTATATGGTTGCTTTTTCTTCTGAAGAACATCATTGGGGTTTTGATAGACATTGCAATGAATTTGTAGGTCACTTTGGGTATTATGATGATTTTAACAATATTAATTCTTCCAATTCATGAATGTGAGATTCCTTTTATTTTTCCTCTTCAATTTATTTCATGAGAATCATATAATTTTCATTGTATAGATCTTTCATATTATTGGTTAAATTTATTCCTAGATAGGTTATTATTTTTAGTTGGCTATTTTAAATATAATTATTTTCTTTCTTTATTTATTTTTCAGCTATTTCTTTATGGGTGTATAAAAATTTTACCAATTTTTGTATGCTCATTTTGTGTCTAGAAACTTTACTGATTCTGTTTATCATTTCTAAGAGGGTTTTGCTGGAGTCTTTAGGTTTTTCTCTTTGCAAGATCATGTCATCTGCAAATAAGGACTTTAAAAGTTATTACACTTATGTGTATATGAGTTTATTTATTTATATCATTAATTGTGCATACATCATGGTTATACATATTTATGGGGTACATGTTAAATTATGATGCAAGCATGCAATGTGTAGTGATCAAATCACAGTAATTGGGATAACCATCACCTCAAGCATCTATCATTTCTTTGTGCTACAAACATTCCAATTCCACTCATTTAGTTATTTTGAAATATACAATAAATTATCTTTAACTATAGTCACCCTATCGTGCTACCACACACTAGATCTTATTCCCACTATCTAACTGTATTTTTGTATCAATTAACAATTATCTCCTTATGCCTCCTCCCCATTACTTTTATCAGTCTCTGGAAACTATCATTCTATTCTCTATCTCTATTAGCTCAATATTTTTTAGTTGCCACATATGAAAGAGAACATGGAATATTTGTATTTCTGTGCCTGGCTTACCTCGTGTCACATAATGTCCTCCAATTTCATTCATGTTGTTGCAAATGACAGAACTTTATTCATTTAGAGGGCTGAATAACATTCCATTGTGTATATATGTCACATTTTCTTTATTCATTCATTTGTTGATGGACACTTAGATTGATTACATATCTTGGCTATTGTGAATAGTGCTGTAATAAACATGAGAGTACATATATCTCTTTAATATACTGATTTTCTTTTAAAAAATATATATAAATATACCCAGCAGTGGGAGTGTTGGATGATATAGTAGCTCTATTTTTAGTTATTTGAGGTACCTCCATACTCTTCTTTATTGTGGCTTT